ACTCAGAGGGGAGCCAGCGTTCATGGTGATTTCAGCAGATCGTGAAGAGACTGGATTAATGCCAGTGAGCTATTATGTGGAATAAATTCAGATAGCTTGGGGCTTAGAAGAGATTTCTCACAATGTGGGCCAAGTTCCCTTTCTAAGCATGAATTCAAATAGACTTGGAAGGAAAAAAAGTTATTTCAAGGATGGCGATCTAGATGCTCTTTGGCAAACAAAAGGCACATGGTTACCACAGTGAGGCTGCATAGGCCTGAGATGTTTTCACTTTCTGAGTAGTCAGTATTTTCACTTGGTAACAGATGCCCCTACTGTCTCTCCCCCCATAAAAAATTGGCAGAATCAGCAGAGACAAAGCAGCCAGCAGGTGGATATGATTATATTTATTACAGTGTTCAGACCCCCATATGACACATATCTAAAGCAGAACATTGCAAACTGACATTATGCTAGCAGCACTTCTCCCTAAACAGGAGGTGTTTAGGTGAACTTAACAATTAGCAGTAATTTAAAGACATGATTACAAGTCATGGTTTTTCTATTAGCAGCTAGTATTTGAATAGTAAAACTATAAATACACAGAGTCATCCAGGTTTAGCCTTGTCTACGAAAACATTAATAAGTCATGATGCAGACGGGTATCCCTAGGGTTGCCAAATAGATGCCAGTACGGAATAAGCAAAGCACTTTTCAAGACATCAACTACCCTCTGCTTAACTGTTAGGACAACACAGCAAGAAGTGGACAGCTGTCCTAAAACTTACTTTACACATAATCCATCCAGATAATCATAGTGTAAATAACACCCTTCAAAAAATGTTCAAACATTTTTTCACAGCCCTAAAAAAATAACATCAGACATAACATCAGATATTGGCTCCAAAGGACTAAAAATCAAAAGCAATTGCAATGTATTGGGAATAGCTGTTACGGCTTTCCTGCGGGACATTTCCCATCTTTTCAGAGAGGGTGCTTTTAAAGAAGCACTACCTCTGGTAGCTTATCAAACTACTTTGTATTCTAAATAAATAAAGACCAACTGAAGGTCTCAGGTGTACTGACTTTCCTTTCCTTAGATCCCCAGAATCATCCAACACCATTTCTTGACAAAAAGCTTTCATTTTTATTAGAGGAGTGCAAGAAAATTTACAAACATTTGAAAAATACTCAAAATACTGAGAGAAAAGGAGGCTCAATCCTTCCTCAGGACCCAAGAAACTGTGACAGGAACTCCAAAGGCTTATCTTAAATCCATCAATTCAATTTGACAGAAAGTAATGACAATGACAGACCACCCATCTTTGCAACACAGACCCAGATAAGATTTTCTTCCTTTACAACCACTAAGCAAACCCTTCTGGGAGTTACTGCCCAGAAAAATGCAGGCTGATGAACATAAGTTACTGTAAGGGGGCCGAGTGCATTCTATATCTGGCATAGAAGAAAAATAAGACATTTGCAAAACCATTATATGTATTGCATGATACTCTTACATGAACCTCCATCTTCCCATAGCAATCATTTCATTAATAAACAAAAAAGTACATAAAGGATTGGAAAGGTTTGGTCAGCACCAGTGTATTAGCTAGCTGTCTTTGAATAATTTTAGCTACAGGAATAGTGCAAACAGAAATGCCAATATCCACTCTACATCAAGGTAGGTTTCTCTTTATCTTTTTCCAGTGGGTAGTAGAAGTGTACACCTAGGTTTCTGTAAGAATTCTGAGGATTAAGGGTAACCCTAGCTTATGACCTAACAATCCCCAGACGTGTTCCTGGTCTGCACCATAAGGATTTTAATGCTAATGGTTTCTAGGCTTTCTGAATTGTAACACACTAGCACAGAGAGCAGGCAGGGTACTGAGAGGTCTAAAGCCACCTGCCTGAGACACTGCTCACTTGAAGCTTCTCACAAATAACCCACCTTTAGTCATAACTTGGTTCCTGAAAGGAAGTATAAGTCCCTCCCAACTGTTAGAACAAACAACCTAAAGTACAAGTTCTCCTAATGGTAGTGGAGGAGATTCACTGCCAATGTACAAAGAATGGCATGTGAAACTGCTCTGGTGTGAAACTGTATCTTCCATTTCTTAATCACTTTTTATTATCTAGCAATACTTGACAGATTACCTCATCAATGCAAAGATGTTTTTGAAAACCTGTCCCCATGTCTAGGGATTACTCTGAAGAACTAAAGTTGGAGGTTCAAAAATAAGTACTATTCCTACCAAATTTCCCATGCCTGAATCCCCAAAGGATACTAGAAAGCAGCTTTGCTGCATTTCAGTTGTCCAGGATCCCCTCAGGTGAGCTGGCAGAGGGCTTCCACGGCTCTACCATTTTGGCTATTACTTCACCTTTAACTTCAGTTATTTCCATAGCAACTTTTTATAACTACAGATAGTTACATTTTTGAGTAGCATATACATTATTAGGATGTATTATTTTCTTCCTTAAAAAAAAAAGCCAATAATTTAAAAAAATTGTTTTATCTAAAACATAATTAGCATGCTTTGTACAAAATAACACATTTACTAGATAGTATTGACTCCAGAATCACTGTCCAAACCAAACAAATAAGTGAGGGCATATGGGCACATAAGACAAATCACATACAATTTAAAAATGATTTTCACAGCCAGGACTGTCAAGTTGGGCAGAAAGTGAGTAAATCATTCCTTATATGGATACACAAAAATTACATGAAAACAGGCATGCATTAAAACAAATCAGGTGAGATTTAATTACACTGGAATCAATGAAATTGATTATGTTTCCTTCGATTCCAAATTTCTACATTATTGGGAATATATAGTATTCATTACGGCTCCTAGCTGAGACACAGGAGGGCAGGCAGACAGGGATGACCAAATAAGGGAGACTAGTGAAGAGAAATAGGCAGGGTTGCCTGATGACTAAACAAGACAATTATTAATTTGGGAACTGAGATTTTGCACACGCTATTTAGAAGAGTGTTTTCACTGGCATATTCCAAAACAAAACAAAAAAATTGTTCACTTAAGTTTGTAACCTGGGATTTCTGTAATAAACCTTTAGTGCATCTGAGCTGGCTCTAAAGAACATATTTCAAAATATAAACAAAGAAACACAAACAAACAAACAAACAAACCCTGCTAATCCCTTTGGGGATGTGTCATTACTAGGTGTTCCTTCTTTGGTACTCCATACAAACATACAGCTCCCTGGAGAGCTTCAGGGGAATTCCCTCTGATAAGTATCAGAAAAGGCTGGGTGCTGGGAAGTGGGAGGAATGGCAAAGAAATGTTCTCCCCTCATACTGAAGATATCCTGAGAACATTTACTGGCCCCCAGGAGGCAGGAATGGAATATGGGAAGGGTTCCTAAAGATATCATTGCCTTCTGATTAGTTACAAAATCCTAATTATTCCTAATGACATTTATGAAGATTACTTCCTTATGTAGCACCTGCCTTGCTCGTAAGACATAGAATTCTTAGAAAGCTTTGAAATAGAGTAGTAAAAATGACGCATGGCACTTAAACGTGTTTAAAGATGTTAACCACCTTTCTGAAATTCTTTGTCTCAATACCCCAGTGAGGTAGGTGTCTGATGGAAAGAACTGAGGCACAGAGGGGTTAACTCTGCTCACCTTTCATTGTATGAGGAGCCAATGCAGAAGGACCAGGTCCCTAGCTCCCTAAACTATGCTCACCCTGCTTTGCTCAGAAGACTTAGCTAAGTTACACAATAAAGACAGCAGGGGAAATTTTTCTTTTCATACATTTAAACTAGTTAGTTATTTCACTTTCACATAAGTTATCTGAAATAAAATTAAATAAAAACTAACAAAACAAAAATCAGCACTGCCTAACAGTCTGTGTCCAGAAGTAGCCTGTTCTGCACCAGTGACTGGAAAAGAGTAAAATGTGATTCAAGTAGAAGCGTTAGTGGGTTCTATGGTGGTCTTGTTATTCAAGCCATGCTGTGTCACTCTGAGATACCACCACTTTGTAAGAACCTCTTTGGCCTGACACGAGGGAATAAAACTACCATCCCTGTTGCATGGTAAACCCATTATGAAAGATATTCTCTACACGGGACCAGCCCCACCTGAAAAAGGGACTCTCAGCCATGTGATGTGGATATACTATGGAGTTCATGCAGAACTCTTCAAAGCCAGACACAAAGGTTACAGGACAGTTCACATTACTTACAGAGGGCACTATCACAGGGTTCATGCAATAGCACCATGCCACAGAAGTTAGAGAAGACAAGAAGCTATCATATGAATGTCTTACTGTCCCATCTGGTATGCCATTTGCAGAGGTTACCTCTGGTAAGGGCAAGGAGGAGGTCCTGTGCTTTTTTCCACAGTAAGGAGATGGAAAAATATAGAGCATTCATCGCTGGCTGCTTTGAGCATGCCATCTATCCAAATTGTACCCTTATGTAAGCTGTGAGCTTTTCTAGTTCTTACAGATATTCAAAGACAATAAATTTTATGTCTTGATCAAGAGAGAATGGTGTGGAGCAAAATTCAAAGGTCAGATACAAGATGTGAGTGTAGGGCTCCAAGGCAATTTACACAGTTACTCACAGAATCAACTTTGTGAGTACTCAGAGCACTAGCATTCAGAACTGAGATAACTGTTTTTAATTTTTTTTTTCAAATGCTAGTCTCTGAGGAGTGAATTCAATTCATAACCCCTACTTCAAGTGGAAGAGCTCAGATTTGATTTGTTTTGAGTGTCTAAATTAGGCCACAAAACCCAATCAGATGGATGTACCTATATGTGGCTTTGCCTTGGTATCAATGTAAGCACACATCCTCCAAAGGCCTGTCCCCTCCTCATGGGGGCTCATCTCCCAAAGGGCCTGGCCCAGGTCCTCTGCACATGCAGAACCAGAGGGACTTGTTCTAGCTCAGAGTCTCAGTGGACACTAGGATACAGCATAGCAGCAATTCATGCATTTTACTTCTAAAAACCAAAGCGCCAGTGAGGCTAAGCTCACTAGTCACTGTGCAAGATGAACGAGCAGGACATTCTCACCTCGAATGAAAATCTGATTAATGTGTCGAGTGAACACCTGCTGGTAATCCACTTTGGGCTTTTGCTTTTTCTTACGGGGCTGGCCCCTGGAAAGGGTGGTAGCCCTGGAAAAGGTTCCTCCAGGACTGGACTCTTCTGTCCGTGTAGTTCTCCCTGATAGCTCTGACCTGGATTCCTCCCTTCCTGATGCCTGAAGGGAAGAAGGGATGGAGCGGGAACGCTTGCGTGACCCTCGATCGGTGTCTCCTCTTCCCCACACTGACGCCACCTTCCAAGTGGATGTCTGGGAGTATCTGGACAGAGTAGAATCTTCAACTGCAGATTTAGAATCTGCTTCCTTCTTGGAGGAATCTTGAAGTTTTAGTCTATCAAACAGCTATAAGGAAAGCAATATAAACATCAGCCTTCTCTTTAATGTTTGACAGCCCTCTTTCAATATACAGGAAAAGTCTAGATTCTTAATTATTCTCTGTGGTCTCCCTACTTTGCAATTTTAAAAAAGTTAGTAATGAATTTTCTATTTGGAGCTATAACTCAGATAAATCAATAAATGTGTCAAGAGAAAAGCCACCTGTTTATTTCTGTTGCATAAAGCTGAACAACTTTTAAGCCTTGTAAGAGCTAAGTTGTTGGTTAGACAACACACAGGTTAGATGCATAGACTCATTTGTGGTCTCATGCTGGAAGTATAACAAGAGAAAAGAATGAAGACGTTAGAATGGGCATACCTTGTCTTCAGCATAAGGGCTTTCCCCTCTAAGAATTCAGGTCTCTGGGCTCAATAATCTTAATTCCTAAGCCTGAAAGCATGTGGATAATCAGTAAGTCAGAAGAAACTGCCTACCCTAGTAAGAGTCAGTGAAGAATCCCGTTCATATGCTTTGCCCAGAACGGGTTTTCGGTACGTCTCATCCACATCAGTAAGTGCCTAGAGGAACAGCCAAAGCAAAAAAAAAAAAAAAAAAGAAAGGCAGAATTAAAAATATTTTTAGGGCTTTTTAGATTAAAGAAAGGAAAAGTAAAAAAAAAAGGCATAATAACAGCTAATTGTAGCAGAACTACACTTAGTAAGTGACTCAGGGCAGGTGACTTGGGCAGAAGAAAACGGTACCACTTGGCATCCTCCCAAGTAGGACTGCCAAGCTGCTTCCAAGAGACAGATTTCTGCCATGGTAAAGGGCTTTTACAACTGCATGGTACGAGCTGCTGTTGGGTCTAGTTGACTTATGGTAACCTCGTGTCTTTCTGAGTAGACTGTTCTCCACAGGGCGTGACCTTCTGGAAGCAGACCACCAGTCCTCTGGATAAGCTTCCACTGCTAACCTTTTGGTTAGCAGCTATATGCTTACCGCTTGTGCCACCCCAGGATTCCAGAATTGTGTGGTAAAGATTCGTAAGTCTGTGCATAAATATTCAGGAAGCTTACAAAATGCAAATTCCAAGGCTATTCTAGAGATTCTGATTCAGCAGGTCTTGGAGCCTTTGGTTTTAACCCGGTGATTGAGATTATGGACAGCCTTAGACCATACTTTAAAAAACACTACTCCACTGCTCCTCTTCCCTCCTCAGTTTTATGTCTAAGATAGCAACTAAGAGAAAGTAACTGGGAATTATGCACAGAATTACTGGTGAGTTCCTATCTATTAGAGATCCACCTCAAAGGAAGCTGTTAGGATCAAGTGAGAACATGAAGGAAAAATTATGTGGAAAGTTGTAAAGTACCCTGCAAATGTAAAGTTACAATATTATTATTATTACCACCACTTTCATCAAATTGTATTCTTTTATGTCCATTCCCTTTCAAACTAAAATTATAATTTTTTCTACATTTTAAAGATGAAAAAACTGAGGCTCAGAGAAATTACCTTGCCTAGAGTTAAACAGATTTAACAAATGGTAAATCTAGGATTCAAATCCAGCTCTTTTGCTTCAATAATGGTTGAGAACATGGTCTTTGGAGTCAGAAAGAGCCAGGATAAAGTCCTGGTACTTCTACTTAGTAACAGTATGATCTGAGACCAATCTTCCAATATCTCTAGCCTCAATTTCATTTTTAAAGTGGAGCAGCAATTGTAGCTATAACTCATCCATTCAGATAATACACACAAAGCCATTAATACAGTATCTGGTACATAGCAAAGGTTCAATGAGCTACCGTTAGGGGGATAAAGCACAGGGAAATGAAAAACTGGAGGTCATATGGAAAAGAAATACTAGAAAGCCCTTGTAGATCCTATTTTAATTGCCTAATATTATAGCTGTGCTATAATCTGTCCCTTCTCTCTTACAATTGTCTGGTAATCAGAAAGCAAACCTTTAGAAGGCCAGGAGTGCACAACACCCTCCTTCATAAGGAAACACCATGCACAATGCCTTTTATTAACATGTCTGCTTCATCCCTATCACCACCTATCTTCCCAAATATTGTTGAACGAACAGTCCTTGATGAGGGGAATCACATTTCACTCCTTTCTGAAACTTCCGTATTTAGCACAGAGTGCAGCCAAAGTCAGTATCAATAAATATTTTTAAATGAATCAAAGAATGATTGGCAAGAAATCATATAAAATTAATAAACAGATGACATAAATAATTATTCCTTGAAACTGTGCTTTTCAACCTTGGCATTAATGACAGATTTCGGAGTAGAACATTGTTTTATATTGTATTTTGTTTAGTAGCATCCTGGGCCTCTACCCACTAGATGCCAGTAGTGCCCCCTAAACCCCAAATCATGACAATCAAAATGTCTCCTAACACTGTAAATGTCCCCCAGGGGAGGGGAGGGGCAAAGTTGCACTGGTTGAGAATCACTGCTTTAAGGTAAAACCAAAAAGAAAAAAACAAACTTACTGCTGTTGAGCTGATTTCGACTCACAGCCACCCCTCCTTGGGTTTCTGAGGCAGTATTACTATGGAAGTAGACTGCCCAGTCTTCCTTCCGAGGAGTGGCTGGTGGGTTTGAACTGCCAGCCTTCTGGTTAGCAGTCAAATGCCTTAGGCACTATGCCACTAGAGCTCTGCTTTAAGGTAAAGGAAGCAGTAAAGAGAACCTTTTGTTGCCCAATAGAACAAACAGATTCTGGTTCTGTGAAGTTATTCTCTAGGTTCTGCTGAACAAGGTTACTGAGATTCTTTAGATAGGGAAAAGATTTAATCTTGAAGAGGTTCTCCAGCTCCTGGAGAAAGTAATTACCATATTCCAGAATTTGTCAAATGCAACGAGGAAACCTGTACAGACACCCCGAAGTCCCTTGAAAGTGCGGATATGAACGTTCACCTTCACTCCCTCCTGGATACAACGATGGAGCTCACCCAGAGGGCTGCCCTCATGCACTGAAACAAGAGAAGAACAGTCAGTATAGCAAAGAGGTCTGCCCTCACTCTTAGAGTTATCAACCAAGGTCATCCAACCATCTACAGCAGCACACGGCAGCACAATGCAGAGATAACCTCACTACTGGAATGGGAAGGCCCAATGGGAAACATGGTTAGTAGTTACAAGCAACATACACAGAAACGAGACAACATTCCAACAGAATGTAGATAAATTCTACATATGGGTAATATCCAAATGTGGCAGTACCTGTATATCCTTTATTCTATGATGTCATTGATTCTAAGTTGCACTATCATTTAAAAACTTCGGGAAAAAAGAAATATGACTACATTAAATGCATACATCAGCAGCTAGATTCTTCCCAGTTCTGTGCCTTCTTAAGATAACTTTTTTCCTGCATAATTCTCATGAATCACACATCCAGCTTGAGCCTTCCTAAGAAGCAAAAACCTTGCTCGTATGTTTAAAAGAAACAAATTGCAAGACATCTGCCCTGAAACACATACCATCCTCCAAAAGAATGGTTTTGGCCCCACCAATCTGGGCTAGTCCATGCATAAGCTCTGTGGGTGTGTTTCCATATACATCATCTGTCCACCGAAAGGAAAAGGACTGGCTGTATTCCAAGACTTCATGGCATGGAAGGCAACTGCAGCACACCAGGCTCCTATGAGATTGCTAATACCCAACACTAAACCAAGCCCAAGTCGAATCCAACTCAGAGCAACCCTACAGGACAAAGTAGAACTGCCTCACAGGGTTTCTGAGGCTGTAAATCTTTATGGAAGTGGACTGCCACATCTTTCTTCCTCAGAGCGATTGGTGGGTTTGAACCACTGACTTTCCAGTTTACAACCGAGTGCTTCAACCACTGTACCACCAGGGTTCCTTATAAGATTGCTAAGAGCACCATGTAAAAAGAGCAGCAGGATGCACAGGAAGCACACTGGCATGATGAACTTCAGCTTTTACTAAACATTCTTTAATCAGAGTTTGGGAGCAGACATGAATTTAATTTTTCACTATTTCATGTTGACTTAGCTAAGGATCTTTGGCGGCACAGTGCCTAAGGCATGTGACTGCTAACCAGAAGGTTGGCAGTTCAAACCCACCAGTCATTCTACTTCTTCTTCCTAAAGATTTACCTTCCCTAAAGATTTACCACCTTGGAAACCCAATGGGGGTCACTATGGGTCAGAATCAACTTGATGGCAGTGGGTTGGTAGGTTTTGTTTTGTTGTTGTTGACTTAGCTCTCACAGTATGCTAGCTATATCATATAAAATCTCCCAAAAGAAAACCACACACATACACAGTCACTCACTCTGCAGTAAAGTTTGTGTGTTAACTTGGTTGGGCCTGGTTGAGTGGCTGGGCTGCTGAGTGTAGTTATTTCCCATGGTGAGACTGGTAATTAACTCCATGGTGGAATCTACTGGAGCAGCTGAGTAGCTGCTTTGGGGGTGTGGTCTGCTTCCCATATATAAGAAACAGCTTTGGGAATGGTCTCTAGCTTATGGCACATTTGAACCCTGCATGTAGCATGTCGTTGTTCAGCAGGCTGCCGTGCTCTGCCAACCTCGGGAATTTCAATGGACTTGAATTAATGGCCTGCTGTGTGGTTTGATAGCATTGGGACTGGGCCTTTTTACTTGTCAACTTTGGGCCTGTCAGTCTCAGCAGCCAGCAGCTGTCTGAGTGAAGAAAAGCCTCTAGCTTCAGTGGGCCAGGAACAGGAGGCAGAGCTGAAGCTCAAGGTTGAGGGGCTTTCACCCAGCCTGAGAGTCTGGCACTTTGAACTTGGACTTAAAGCCTCCAAACTGTAAGAGAATAAACTCCTGTTTAAGGCCATCCCACTTGTGGTATATTCCTGTCAGAGTGGCACTAGATAATCAAAACACACTCATACTCATGCTTACACAGTCTCAGCCTCTCTTAAGTTTGCAAAGCAAAATTCTTTAGAAAGCATATGTCATTAATAGTAAACAAACCAACAAATCCTTCCAGGCATAAAAGAGTCTTGTTTTTGTTTTGTTTTGTTTCCAGGCATAAAAGAGTCTTGTACTTTATTTTGGATAATTAAGTTGGTTCCTCTTGATCTCCTTATCAAGCAAGCAAAGTATATGAAATTCCTGTGTTGGCTTATGAATGGTGGCCACAATAAATTAATAAAATACTCTTGGATTAAGAAAAAAGTGACTTGTCTAATGATAAGGAGGAGCTTATGTTTGATTGAAAAATCTGCAAGAAGGCATAGTAGGAGACAAAGTGATAGAAACAGTGACCTGGGAAAGTGCAGTGCAATGAATTACTTAATATGGTGGCCCTTTTAGCCATGCATGGTCTTGTAGCTCCTACACAATGGTTGGGTGGGACTATGCAAACAAGGTGCTATAGCCCACCGAGGGGATTAGACAGCATGCTAACAGTGCAAATAAAGTGTATGGCACCCTTGTAGGGGTAGGACCATGCACATAAGGTATATGGAAACCCATGAGAGGATTGGTCAGTTTTACCATCCTGCTAGGCTTAAAATGAGCCATGCCAGAGGTGGGAAAGAGGAGACCTTGCTACCATAAGGAAAGGAGATTCAGCAGCAGAATGTGTCCTATGGACCCGGGGTCCCTGTATTGAGAATATCCTAGACCCAGGAGACAGAGCAAACTGTGATACCTGAGATGGCTCAAGATGGTGACAAGTAGTGGCACATAAATGGCAGCAGAAGAACCAAGAGACCAGCAAGAGATGGCACAGTAGGCTTTGCTTCACAGCTCATGGAACAGGTGGCTACAGTGGGCGTGATGATCCAAAGAGCAGAGAGCTGAGAGACTTCGAGCAGGCGGCTTGGCTGCCAGAGTGGGGTGCCTCTGGCCTTGGTGGAGCTAAAGTGTTTTTTAATACTTGACTGACTAGGGCAGAGGCCAGGCCAACTGGGGCCAAGGACTGAGATAGAAGCCCTGTCCTGAAGGAGCTCTGCATACCCAGAGGAGCTGAGAGAGCCTGACAGTGAAAGGAGACTTTGCTTACATGGTTCCTGATCCTGGTCCTAAATTGTAACTTGTTACTTTCCTTAATAAACCCGGTAAGTGCGAGTATGGTCTGTGAGTTCTGTGTGGCCACTGCAACAAATTATCAAGCCCAGCAGAGAAGTAAAGAGTGCTATGGGAGGGACAGCTGGTGGCAGAATTGGTAAAAAGACTAGAGAGAGGAGGCAGGCACTCCACTTCACAGGAATTCGCCTAGGGCTGATGTTGATCTTGATACTCCTCCTTATGAAGTTAAAGGAGGTCAGATGCCATGATGGCAATTTTTACAGAACGGAACATGAGAACCTTGGGCTGACCTTTATCATCTATCCTTCTTCTATTTTAACATCCTTTGAACCACCGGTATATTAGGGTGTGTTTGTGTATGTGCATCCCCTTGCACACACGTATACAAATATCTGGATATGTCTTATGAGCAGTGTTAAGTCAATCATTGAACACAACTTTTAGGTCATCATAACTAGCAATGAAATACTAGGATTTACTCTCCTCTTTCCTCCCTGAGACTAGCATAAAGATTAAGCACATAGGGCTTGGAGTTAGATAAACCCAGGATTACATGTCAGCTGCAACACTGGCTATGTGTAGTTAAGGGTCATCGTAACCAACAATGAAATACTGGGATTTACACATAGAGCTTGGAGTTAGATAAACCCAGGATTACATGTCAGCTGCAACACCGGCTATGTGACCCTGGGCCTGGGCAAATAGTTAAGCTCAATGCACCTCAGATCCCTCATCTATAAAGCAGCACCTAAGGGCAGTTCAGGGAGCTCTGGTGGTATAGTGCCTAAGATATTGACTGCTAACCAGAAGGCTGGTGGTTCAAACCCACCAACCACTCCTTGGAAGGAAGGTTGGGCCATCTACTTCTGTAGCGATACTGCCTTGGAAACCTGAGGAGGGGTCACTATGAGTCGGGTCCGACTCAACGGCAGTGTGTTATTTTTGTTGTTGTAAGGGCAGTTCAAATGGTTAACATACCTGGCTGCTAAATCAATGGTTGGCAGTTTAAGTCAGCCCAGAGATGCCTCAGAAGAAAGGCCTGGCAATCAACTTCTGAAAGACCAGCCAAAGAAAATCTATGAAGCACAGTTCTCCTCTGACACACATGGGGTCATCACGAGTCAAAATTGACTCAATGGCAACCGGTACTGGTTCTGGTAAGGATAAAATGAGATACAATGCACAGAAGTGCTCCATGTCAGTAGCTATAATTAGTAACAATAAAATAACATTATCCTACTTACAAAGGTAAATGATCCAAGAAGCTGGACTACATGAAGAAGAACATGGCATTGGGATTGGAGGAAGACTCATTTACAATCTGCAATATGCAGGTGACACAACCTTGCTTGCTGAAAGTGAAGAGAACATGAAGCTCTTATTGATGAAGATCAAAGACTATAGCCTCAGTATGGATAACACCTCAACAGGAAGAAAACAAAAATCTTCACAACTGGACCAATAAGCAACATCATGATAAATAGAGAAAAGATTAAAGTTGTCAAGGATTTCATTTTACTTGGATCCACAATCAACACCCATGGGAGCAGCAGTCAAGAAATCAAATGAGGTACTGCATTAGGCAAATATGCTGCAAAAGATCTTTTTAAAGCATTAAAGAGCAAAGATGTCACTTAGAAGACTAAGGTGCCCCAAACCCAATCCATGATATTTTCAATAGCCTCATATGCATGTGAAAGCTGGACAATGAATAAAGAACACCACAGAAGAACTGATGGGCTTGAACCCTGGTATTGGTGAAGAATACTGAATACACCACAGACTGCCAGAAGAAACAAATCTGTCTTGGAGGAAGTACAGCCAGAATGCTCCTTAAGAGGGAGACTGGCCTGACTTCATCTCTTGTACTTTGGTCATGTTGTTAGAAGGGACCAGCCCCTGGAGAAGAATATCACGCTTGGTAGAGCAGAGGGTGTGCGAAAAAGGGGAAGACCCTTAATGAGATGGACTGACATGATGGCTGTGAAGATGGGCTCAAGCATGGCAACGATTGTGAGGATGGCACAGGAATGGGCAGTGTTTCATTCTGTTGTGCATAAGGTTGCTATAGGTCAGAGCCGACTTGATGGCACCTAACAACAACAGCTTAGAAAGAGACAAGAGTTAACTTTTTTGGGGTGATGGAAATGTTCTATATCTGGATTGTAGTGGTGATTTCATGCCTCTATAATATTTGTCAGATCCCACTTACAAAGGATGAATTTTGCTACATATAAATTACAACTCCATAAGCCTGATTTTTTAAAAAATTAGTATTAACCTCACCCATGTCCTTCCTTAGCTTCCAGACTTAAAGCTAGAACAAGAACTCTTTCTTGAATAGATCTAATCCTCACCCATGATGCTGCCATTTTCATGCTTTCTGAAAGTCATCAACTCTGTCATGTCTACCCATTTCTATAATGTGCACCTGTCTCCAGTGGCATAATTAAAATGTTCAGCACCCAGGACACATTTTCTGAGATCTTGACTCCAGGCTTATATTTAATCATGGAAAATTGACAAAGCTAGTGTCCATACTCACCATCATACCAATACAGCAAAGTGCCCCATACCTGACGCCCTCAAGTTGATTTCAACTCAAAGCAACCCTGTAGGGCAGAGTGGATGTGCCCCATAGAGTTTCCAAAGTTATCATCTTTACGGAAGCAGACTGCCATCTCTTTCTCCCACAGAAGGGCTAGTGGGTTAAATGGCTGGCTGGTGGGTTCAAACTGCACACCCTTCAGTTAGTGCTCAGCACTTTAATCATTACACCACCAGGGCAAACCACCACATATAAACATTTCTTTCTCTTGATGATCCCAGCAGCAAAGCAATAAGAATTGGCAAAATGAAAATAAATTTACAATCTGAGAAGTGCCTTTCCACTATTTGAGAGTAGCAAAAGACAAAGGCAAAATAGCATGTATTCTCTCACTTTGTATTACTGCTGGGCAAGCAAGCTAGGATAAATCCCAGCTGGAGCGGCGAGGGATGCTCCGGGTGCAGCGCTGTGAGCCATCTGACAGGTCTCCACACAGAACCTCAGCTTTTCAGGATGTCTCTCTCTTAATAACACAATTTCTAGGAACCAACTAACACCTTCTCTTGTTTAACATACCCTCCTTCAAAAGCAGTGATTTAATAATGTAACAATTTAGCTATCAGGATACAGATACTTTGAATGGCTAAGTAGGTCATTGTATTCACAGGGCAGATGTCAGAATTGCTTGCCAGATGACAAAAGATATAACCCTGGGCTGTTTTTATTCCATTTAAACAAAACCTAACTCACATATTAGCAATCTCTGCTGTTTACAGCTTTACACTAAGGATGTATTAACAGGCTCCTGAAATTCCCTTGTGCCAGTTAACACCTTCAGAACTTAACATAACCTGCACAATGGTAGGTAATATAAGCCTGACAGACATTGTCCTGCACCCAGACAGGCACAGTGGCTGTAAAACTGTGTCTGTGTTTTAGTGGCATTTTGTGTCTGCTGCATTCCAGTACTTATGATTTAGTAATATGAGCACAGTGTCTCAAGATACACTTATGTACCTCCCGCTTACAGCACCATGTGAAGGGGTTATGGAGTTATGTCCCTTGTGCTATCTGGACGGATCTCTCCACAATCCATCTGATCACCCTCAAATGTAACCATACAATACACTCTCCCCCCAATATTGGCTATTCCTTCACCCACAACTTCTCCTGTGCCTCCCCCCATTACCTCTATCTGCAATCCCCAAGACCTCTTATCTCTGCAGTCCCTCCCCATGGAGCCCCCTACATTCTTTCCCTGGCTCCACCATCTCTCCAGGTCCTTCATCACGTCTGCGGACCCTCTCCGCAGGCTCCTCAACACCCTATGGACATTTCCATGTTCCCCGATTACCTCTGCAGACCCTCCCCGTAGCTCATTTTCTCTCCAGCCTTACCACTGTCCCCTCATTTCTCCATTCACAGCGACCCTCCCCACCAAGCCCCATTACCTACATTCTTCAAGCAGATCTTCCCCATGGTTGCTGATTACCTCTGCAAACCTTCACCAAAGCCCTCCCCCTAATACCTGCAGACCCTCACCAAAGCCCAAATGACCGCGCAGACGTCCCCTCGGCCACCACCCCGCGGACAGCCGGATCCTCTGCACCCGTCCCGCCTGTCCGACTCACAGGGCATACGCGTGAGCACATTGCGCGGCGCCTTCTGGCTCCGACCGCGACCCCGCCGGGGAGCCCCGGCGGCCCCGTCCTCTTCTTCCTTGGCCACCATAAGGCGGCGGAGGCGCTGGATACGTTCGGGGTCCGGGGTGGGCGCATTTCGGCGGCGGCGGGTCCTGCCCATGGACCCGGAAGCAGCGGGGACGGCGGGGAGACTGGAGCCGGCGGGGCCCCCCGAGCCTGCGGCCGCGCCCCGCGCCCGTCCGCGCCCGCCCGCCCTGCACCCGGTCTTCAGGAAGCTCTCGTACTCGGCCAAGTTGTTGAAGCACGGTGCGTTCGGGTAGGGGATGGGCGGCAGGCGGGGCGAGTACAGGGCCAGCAGCGGGTCGAAGCTGTCAGAACTGACATCCAGCCGCGGGCTAAGCGGGCGCGCCGGACTCTCGGCGCGAACCGACCTCGCCCCCCGCTCCCGCTCCTCCATGTTTGAAAGGCCGGCAAGCAGAGGCCGATGGGAAGAAGGAGCGGAGCCACCAGAGGGCGGCACTGCGCAGCCGCGGCACAAGGTCGCACTGCGCCAGCACGGCCGCCGGGGGGCAGCATCAGTTCGCGCTTTGCCGCCCCACAGGCCATGATTCCAGACACTAAGAGGCTAGGACTATCTCGCCTCTCAGCACACAGGTGACAAGTAAACGCTGTCAACTAATGCTTAACCTACTTTAATGCAGTGTTTCCCACCTATATAATTATCACTTATTAATACTCTAGGTTTTGGGGAGAGAAGCCTGGGTCGGCATTTTAACAATCTGCCCAGGTGATTCCCATGTGCTCCAGAGCTGTGCCCTCTTTCTTGCTTGTTGTTGTTGTTATGTGCCGTCGAGGCGACCCGGCTCATAGCGACCCCTCCTTGGGTTTCCGAGGCAGTATCACTACGGAAGTAGATTGCCCCATCTTCCTTCCCAGGAGTGGCTGGTGGGTTTGAACCGCCAGGCTTCTGATTAGCAGTCAAGTGCCTTAGGCACTATGCTGCCAGAGCTCCCCTTTCTGGCTTGAGCTGGCGGGAAACAGAGTGAAGAGGGCAATGGATGTCCCATTCTTCTTTCACGCTGAGTACGATTCAGGGGTTTGCCTATGTGAATTTAAATTCCGGTTCCACTGGACGAATTGGGAGCAAATTATTTAACCTGTCAGGCTCTTCACTTTCTCATTTGAAATATGTGGGTAGGAATAGTACTTATAATATTCTCTAAGGATTAAGAGAGATTGCATACAGAGCACACAATAAACGCTGTTAGCTGATACTGGTTAAGTGTACAGTCGAACTATGAAGGATGGGTGGATCCCACTCCTCCATTTCTCACCTCCTCTGCAAAATGGAACTTGCACCAAGACCAGAGAGATCTTAGTATTAAAAAAAAATCATTATCACTCATTTCCTAAGCGTTACTAAGAAACTGGAGGAAATGAGGATCCAAGTACTGGAGGTCAGGATGATGGAAGATTCACAAGACCTGGTTATACCACTTGTTACTTTATAGCTTCAGTTCAGGAAAGCCGCCTTTTCACATAATAAAATGATAGGCTACTCTACACTGAGCCAAGACGTTTCCAGTGACCTTTGGGCCACACGAATCACATCCATAACTCCCTCTACTGCTATCAACTAGTATTAACAGTATATTGCTTGTTCTTATATTTCAGATTCCCTTAAGATTTGGCGGAATCCTGGTGGCACAGTGGTTAATGCTTGGCTGCTAACTGAAAGGTCAGCAGTTTGTACCCACCAGCTGCTCCACAGAAAAGAAACATAAGGCAGACTTCTTCTGTAAAGATTTCAGCCTTGGAAACCACACAGGGCAGTTCTCTGCCCTATAGGGTCACTATATGTCATAATCAATTAGATGGCAACAGATTTGGTTTAAAATTTGGGAAAAGAAGCCCAAAAGAAAATAATTCTCTACCTTAGAGGTCAAGCTAAAAATTAATATAAAACTATGAAACATATTTTTGACTATTAACCTAAAGGCTGGCAGTTTGAACCTACCCAGAGGCACCTTGGTAAAAAGAGTCCTGGTTATATGCTCCCAAAAGATCACATGCCATGGAGCCACTCTACTGACACACATGGGGTCGCCATGAGTTGTTATCAGCTCAAGGCAACTGGCTTGGTTCCGGTGAAATATACACTGGAGTGAATACAACCTACAGCAAAGACAGAAACCATCCAGCAATAGCACTTCCAAAACCCTCCTGCCCAACAAAAAAAAATTCAAAGCTGTAGAACTGCCAAGAATTCAAGAAATTCATGCTCATTCCCAAGTCTTATGGCAAAATTGTGCTATCACACAGCACCCACAAAAAGTGCTCATTTCCTTGGGTGGTTATAAATTTGTACTTTAATACCTATTTACCTATACCTGTTTTAATATAATATGCTACAAATTACTTATTATTGCTTAAATTTGCCTAATAGCTACCCTGGGAGCCCTGGTAGCATAGTGCCTAAGGCACTTGACTGCTAACCAGAAGTCTGATGGTTCAAACCCACCAGCCACTCCTCGGAAGGAAGGTTGGGTAATCTACTTCTGTAGTGATACCACCTCGGAAACCCAAGGAGGGGTAACTATGAGTCGGGTCCAACTTGACAGCATGTAACAACATACGACACCACAATATCCACTCTTATCTTATTGCCTCATTTGGCCTAAACAGTATATGTTGAAGGACTGGCTGCCCTAAGTATGGTATAGCAATAACCACAGACCTCTGGGGTTAAAGATCTGATCACTGAAACCCAGACCTTCATTGGTAGAGTCTGGAATCAGCATTTTAAACAAGCATTCAAAGTCAATTTTTTTTTGCTTAAGGGAGATATCCTGGTTTAAGCAAAGAAACATAACAAAAAACATATGTAAAAGTCACATATTTCATTTGTATGAGACAAAAAAATTAGGCCAAAGGAGTTGAAACCTTTATTTTTTTTTCTTAATGAGAGTTTAGCAATTACCAAACATGAGCCGAATCTCCTATTCATGTGGAGTGGGGAGGACAGGAAGGGAAAATGGCATTGACAGATGGGATATCATTTAGTGAAGGATGAGACCAGCCGTCACCCTTTTAAAAATACATTTTCCTCTTGGCTGTAAATTCTGCAATGTGAGACCAGGCACTGGGATGTGAGCTGTCTCTTAATTAATTCTTAATCAAGCCAAATGATTTTCTTCCTCCTAAATGAGGACAAAAGGAAATGAAAGTTTTCTCACTACCTATCGCCATTGCCTCTTCTCTTCAGAGGCCAACAGCTTGGTGGCAGGCAGTTACTGCTGCTGCCTCTGCTGCTCTGAACCATCTCCAGCTGCCCAACAGCAGGAGCCATTGTGATTCCCTTGCCACCTGTGACTCCAAAGGGAGTGTGGACCATTCTGTTCTTGAATTCAAATATTATTTTTCTGATGATAGAGGATGCATGACAGTCTTTTTCAGTAAGTCTAACATCTTCAGTGGGAAGACGAACCCAACCCACTGAATCAGATTTTAACACTGAAAATGTATGGTGCAGGACAGAGATATGATCAGTTCTTAAAGACTCACGGGCTGTTTCTCCCTCCCTGTTCATTCATTGTCATTCATTTGCTTTCATATATATGTATACACACACACACACACACACATATATATATGTGTCTATACACAAACACACGCATATACATATATAAAACTCTTTCTTCCTAGAAAGATGTAGCTTTGGAAACACCCCCCCAGCAAGAAGACAATGCTCATCATGTGGACAACACACTCCCACAAAATCAGTCCACTGGGACACGTACAGAAGGGCATCCAAACTACTACTCATTAGTTGCCAATGTGGAGAGTTGCTTTTTGTGTATTTTCCCTGGAACTCCTGAATCCAGTGGCATCTTGCATCAGTCCATATTTATCTCCAGGTCTGCCCAAGATGAATGCAAATGGATGGGTGGGAAAGGAGAGATTTTTAATGCACTCAATTTTCTAGATAAGAACAGGTGGGTGAGAATAAAGTTGTGGCTCATAACATTGATAAAAAGAGCTGACAGATTTTTAAGACTTATGCCACAACCTAAAAATGATTCATTCTGCAAGGCATAAAATAGTTCATGCTTTATAAATATAGTACCACAATTTTTTTTAAAAAATGCACTTCTACTGAAGGAACTATGTTCCAGCAGTGCAAAAAGGTGTTCTGCTTAGAGCAGAACAAGATCCACCGCCCCCGTCATCCCTTTCCTCCAAGTTCCCTTCCAAAGCAAATCCTGTCCCTCCCAGCACTCTTTCCTGGGTGGCAGGGATGCTAAGGCCACATGAGGCAGAGACTAGGGGGCCTTGCAGGGTTAGGCACACCAGGATCAAAAGGCATGCGGTCAACTGTCTTCATCAAGGATCTCTGGATGTTTCTTCCAGAAAGCATCTCCAATGATATCGCAGTGAAAAGGCACTGGCTTGGTCCTGGTCCGGGTCACTGCCATCTTTCTTCCTTCCATTTCTGCTGGCAGCTTAACTTCTTTTGTCGTGACTTCATCCACCTACAGATAAAAGTTGAAGTAATGACACTGTTAACTGGAGAGTGGGTTTGGAAGAGAAGGGGGAGGTATGGGTAAAGTACACTATATATATATTTTTTACTTTATATACATTTTCTAAAAAATTGAAAATAAATTTGTGCTGTTACACATCTCAGCATGCATGAATTTCTTTACAATTTTAAAATACTTTTACAAGTTTAGGTTGATATATTCTGAAAGATCATAAGAACAAAGGAGGGATTCTATGTTCATCATTAGCCATAACTATAGAACTAAAGACATTTCTCCTCTTCCATCTGCATTAAGTTTCCAAATCCATGCCAAAGAACACATGTGTTCTGAAAATACTAATAAAAGAGCTGAAGTAGCCAGTGGAATGAATAACTTATAAAACCAAAAAATCCAAACCTATTACTGTTAATTTGACTCATAGAGACCTTATAGGATGGACTGAACTGCCCCATAGGGTTTCCAAGGTTATAAATCTTTATGGACGCAGCCTGCCTCATCTTTCTCCTGCAGAGCAACTGGTGGGTTTGAATCATCAAACTTTTGTTTAGCAGCTGACTGCTTTAACCACTGTACGACCAATGATCCCTAAATAATTTAAAACCGACTGCCATCAAGTTGCATCCAACTCATAGCGACCCCTCCTTGGGTTTCTGAGGCAATATCAGTACAGAAGTAGATTGCCCAACCTTCCTTCCGAGGAGTGGCTGGTGGGTTTGAACCACCAGCCTTCTGGTTAGCAGTCAAATGCCTTAGGCACTACGCCACCAAGGCACCCCTTAATACTGGAAAACATTCATTTTAGAAAAAACCCTATTCTATATAGAAGAAAATAAACTTAGAGAAATCATAATGCTCAAGAGCTGATATAGAGAGGAAAAACCGGTAGAGTTAAGGATTTAGATGAATGTATACAGAATTGTTGAAGGAGCTTGGATAGCACAGTGCCTAAGGCATCTGACTGCTAACCAGAAGGTTGGTGGGTCAAACTCACCAGCCACTCCACACAAGGAGGACTAGACTATCTACTTCCATAAAGGTTTACTGGCTTGGAAACCCAATGGAGGTTGCTATGAGTCAGAATTGACTCGATGGCAGTGGGTTTTTTTTTTTTTTTAAATACAGAATTATTACAGAATATTAAGGTAAGTGTGAATGAGGAAGCTCATGAACCTTCTGAAAGTGACAAAATCCTCAAATTTCTTGGTACCTTAATCAGATAAATTCATGGATCATTTAATGGTATTATACAGTGTGGGAGAAAGTGTGTTTTAAATGTTCTGTGAATGCAAAAGTCCTCGTATCAACACTGTACCCTTTTAAACAAATTCTCTTTGATCTGGGAAACATTTTGACACAGAAAAATAAGTGCACTAATTCTAGAATTCTGTGATTCTACTTAAGGAAGGGGAGACTGCAGACCCCTAAGTTCCTATTGATGGACAAAAAGAGCATCGAAAATAAAAATCTATACCATCTCTTTTGGAAAGGTTCTAGTTCATGTGAATAATCAGGCTCCTATCAGCATAGAGGCAGCAGACAAGACTGTGCCCAGGATGGTGCAGGCTCTCTTCTGTCCTGATCTCCATTTTTAACATTTGAACAGCATTACCTTCTGCCATATCAACACAGTCCCTTTCCTATACATCAGGGGCTCGTGATTGTAGTTGACGTTGAATTCTGAAAACAAAATCTCATTCTTGTCTGCTGCAAGAGTTCCCTGAGAAAATAAAACAGGTATAAAAGCTTCGTATGTCCACTTTCTCACCTAAGCCTACCTATGCATTCTACCCTCTATCTCAATTTCCACAGCTTCTACAAACAAATCAAGAAGTGGAAGGAGTTTTATCATGTATCTTATGTGTAATAATAAATTTTTACTTTAAGAGCAGTTCACATCATAATTACATGTCTAACTTAAATAAAATTCTCTTCTATAGCAAACAACTGGCTTCACAAGTCAAGACTGTGATGGGGTGGGAGGGACTAATAACTGAGCACCTATTATGTACTAGGTACTCTATGTGTATTTTCTTATTGGATCTTCATTACGTGCTTCCTTTTAGAGAAAAATGAAGCTTAGAAAAATCATATAACTTGCTGAAGGGTGATTTTATTCATCTACTAAGAATAACCAAAATCTGACCTTGATTCTTCTAAAGCCTAGATGTATCTACTGGTATTCCTATTATTGCCATATATAAATCTTCATCATTAATAGCTAATAAAGACAGCCATTTACTAAGTAATTATACTGAAGTAGGCATTGTATCAGGAGCTACCGCAACACATTATCTCATCTCAGAGTTACTGTTATCCCATGAGTAGCATTGTTATCTAATAATAAAAGCCAGGATCATTTTACATGCATCATGTTATTTCATTCTCCCCACAAACCTATTATTAGGTAGGAATATTATTTTCCACATTTTACCTATAAAGAAACTGAGGCAGAGAGGATAAAATTAAACACAAGCATGATCTGAGTATGGTTATTTGACCCCAGAGCCTGAACTCTTAATATACAGGAGTCATAAATCCAAAAAAATGTTAATTATCTAGCAGGTAACAGCAATGAATGAAAAGGCCTGGTGGGAACTGACATTAAAAGAGCATGCACTCTGTCTGAAAAGGCCTGCCAATACTTAGCTCCAGTCAATTGTTATCATGTGGGAATGTAGAGCCCATGTCATTAATTCCATTTTCCAGCTGAGGATATAGGCTCCAAAGAAGTAACTCATCCAGGGTTACAGAACAAGCAAGCAGCAGAGCTGCTATCAGTATGATCAGTATATACTTTGAAAGCATAGATGTCAGGAGAACTAGAAGAGAATGCAAAATGGTATGCAAGGGCCTACAGAAAACTGTCCCTAGTTAAGTATTAAGGCAGGAAGATCTTTATACCTGTAGTCTTCCTTGGGCTTGTATTGGTGTTAGTCCAGATTTCTGTATGAGTGCCCAGAAAACTGTATTATAAAGATTATTGATGTGACCTGTGGGGAGAACAAAATAGTAGTGTTTATATATCTAGAACCTTGATTCAATATGTACACTTCAATGACTACCAGAGACCTGCCCTTCTTTTCTTTAAAGATAAGAGATCTCAGACACATTTAGTGATTTTCCAAAAGTTATACAAAGGGAAAATGTGGGAAAGGGTCAAGCAGCAAAAAAAAAATTGTTTCCTATCAACCATTTTATTCTGTCATTTCTGTATGCTTTATACAGATCTGCTAATTTGTACGTTAAGCTTAGAAATACTATCCCAGTTATTTGTTTTACATAATTCCAACTTGTTTTCCAGTTCTTGTAGTAAAAATCAAAACACACCAAACAAGCGTAGGTCTTACAAATACTTCATCCTATCATGTTAAGGTAGGGGTCACAACTCTCATAGCCACTGAAGCCAGTAAGACAGAAATATGTGAAGCACAGTGGGTGACCCCAAGGGAACAACGGAATGGTAAAGACTGTAGCACAATGGTGCGTGCATGCGTGTGTGTAAGGCAGGCAGCCAATGCACGGGATCCATCCAAACTAGGTAGGAAAGCAGACTGAGTATTCCCAGAACTTTTTTTTTTTTTTTTTTAAAAACGAAAAGGAAAAAATAGGATTTTTAAAATAAAAATAACTTCCAAATTTTAAAATATTTTTAACCAAAAAAATTTTTTTTAAATACTATATTCCAAATAACACACATCTTGAGCCAAACCTGTGACAGATCTCCACTGTATAGTATATGGAATTGGTGGTTTAACTACCTATTTATTTGATGCTACTTACAGTCTGCTTGCCGCCAGCTGAGGTAGTCCTTTAAGGTCTGGTTAGTAGGATACAACACAACTCTTCCATCAAAGCCTGGGGGATACAGAAGAGGCTGGTCCTCAAAGTAATACCGCCAATAAAACACATAGCTGGAGGCGAACTGGGAGGCCACATGAGTCATGAACTTACTTGCAAATGTAAGGCACATTGGGTCAAGCAAGAAAAGAGAAAATACATGATATTAATTCAACACCATGATAGGGCCTACAGGTGCAAGAGAAAGATTACATAAACTGCCCAGAAAGTCATGAGATCAAATGCATCTCGTCAAGAAAAAACATTTTAATATTTCAGTTCTAAGTAATTTACTAATACCAGAATTTTCTCTGTAGGATGTCGTATGAAATTATGGTTCAAGAGGATTTTATTTTTTTAAGTCTTAGAAGGAAGAGAACCATTGTTTTAAAAAAAGGTATACCAATCCACTATATAATTTGTTTCCTGTGAGTTTCTGAAATATTGCCAAATAAAACATCAGATTTGTGTATTTTGTGATAATATTCTTTCAATTAAAAGTTTAAACAAAACCAAGATATCCTTTAATAGGTGAATGGGTAAACGAATAGCAGTGTATCTATTTTAAAAAAAACAAAACCAAAAAACCCAAAACCTACTGCCACTGACTCAATTCCTACTTATAGCAACCCTACAGGACAGAGTAGAACTGCCCCATAAGGTTTCCTAGGCTGTAATCTTTATGGAAGCAGATTGCTTTATTGTTCTCCTGCAGAGTGGCTGGTGAGTTCAAATAGCTGACCTTTCAGTTAGCAACCAACAGCTTAACCACTGTACCACCAAGGCTCATAGGTACATCTATACAATAGAGTATTATTTACAAATAAAAAGGAACGAGCTATCAAACCACAAAAAGACACGGAGGAACCTTTAATGGATACTGCTAAGTGAAAGAAGCTACATGGTGCACGACTGCAACTATATGACATTTGGAAAAAGCAAAACTATACAGATAGGAGCTCTGGTAGAGTAGTGCCTAAGATACTTGACTGCTAACCAGAAGCCTGGTGGTTCAAACCCACCAGCCACTCCTCGGAAGGAAGGTGGGGCAATCTACTCCCTTAGTGATACCACCTCAGAAACCCAAGGAGGGGTGCAATGAGTTGGGTCCAACTCGACAGCAAATAACAACAACAACATACAGACAGTGAAAAGATCAGTTGTTGTCAGGGGGTAAGATGGGAGGAAAGGGATAAACAGACGGAGCGTGAGGCATTTTTCTGGAAGTGAAACTATTCTGTATGATACAGTAATGGTAGACACATGACATTAAGCATTTCTCAAAATCCACAGGACTATACAACATGTAATTAATAATAAGGTATATTTGTTCATCAATTGTAACCAATACACCATAAGAATGCAAGATGTTAAGAGAAGAAATGATGTGTAGGAAGGAGGGGTATATTGGAACTCCACTTATTACAGTTTTTCTATAAACCTAAAGCTGCTCTAAAAAAAAAAATCCATTGAAAATAAAGTTTAAACAATGTTGCAATGCATGTAGCAATTGCCACTAGCTAAAGCCAATCTATAAATCATTATTACATTTTTGTGGTCTGTTTCTAGTCTTAACATTCAATACCAGACCAATCTAGAAGTTGATGGTGAGTAAGGGGAAAGAATCAGAGAAAAAGGCATACTGAATGCTCAGATATCAGAGGAAGTAGAACAGTCCAAACAGGAACAATACATACACTTTGCAATTGTAAATTCCATCTGTCCTCTGTAAGCCTCAATTAAAATAGGCAGAAAACTAGGTATTGTTAGAAAAATTAGGAGGTCTGATGGTGCTGTGATTAAGCAGTGTAAGCACTGGCCTGCTAACCAAAAGGTTCGCAATCAGGACCCATGAGCAGCTCTGTAGAGACGGATAAGGCAGTCTGCTTCCTTAGATTTACAGCCTTGGAAAGCCTATGGTGCAGAGTTCTACTCTGTCCTATAGGGTTGCTATGGGTTTGTTTTTGTGTAAGATATTCTGAGGGGGAGAAAAAAGAGCTTAACCATAAAGCATTTGACTGGGTTATAACAAATTGTGGATAACACAGAGAAGAATGGGAACTCTAGAACACTTAATTGTGCTTATGAGGAAACTGTACATAGCCTAGGAGGCTGTCATTCAAACAGAACAAAGGGATACTGCATGGTTTAAAATCAGAAAGGGAGTGTGTCAGGGTTGTATCCTTTCACCAGTAATTGTAATTCAATAATTCAGTAATTCAGTAATACTAATTCAATCTGCATATGCTGAGCAAATAATTTGAGAAGCTGGACTGTATGAAGACGTACGTGGCATCAGGTTTAGAGGAAGACTCATTAGCAACCTGTGATATGCAGATGACATAAACTTGCTTGCTGAAATGAAGATGACCTGAAGCAAGTACTGATGATTAAAGACACTAGTCTGCAGTATGGATTATACCTCAACATAAAATGAAAATCCTCACAACTGGACCAATAAGTTGCATCTTAATAAATAGAGAAAACACTGAAGTTGTCAAAGATTTCATATTACTTGGATCCACAATCAACACCAATGGAAGCAACAGTCAAGAAATCAGACAACATTATTGCACTGGGCAAATCTGCTGCAAAAGACCACTTTAAAATGCTAAAGAGCAAAGATATTTCTTTAAAGACTAAGGGGCGCCTAACCCAAGCTATAGTGTTTTCAGTCACCTCATATGCATGTGAAAGCTGGACAGTGAATAAAGAAGACCAAAGAAGAGTTGATGCTTTTGAGTTGTGGTGTTGGTGAAGAATTCGGAAAGCACCATGGACTTCCAGAAGAATGCTCCTTGGAAGCAAAAATAATCAGACTTAGTCTCACCTACTTTGGTCATTCCCTGGAGAAGGGTATCAGGTTAAGTAAGCAGAGGGTCAGTGAAAAGGGAAGATCCTCAGTGAGATGGACTGACACAGTGGCTGCAAGGATGGGCTCAGATATAGCAAGGACTGTGAGGATGGTCCACAACTGAGCAGTGTTTCCTTCTGTTGTACAGAGGGATTGCTTGAGTCGGAGTCGACTTGACCTAACAACAACAGATCATAGAGAGGATTACCTGGCTCTTCTTTTAAACCAATTACTCTTCCGCTTGAACACAAAACTGTACTCATCACTCTGTCCATATGCAATCACAATATCATCCAGTTCTTCCATTACTGTCTGGGCACATTTAGTCATCAGATGAAGGGCACGACTGTCATTAGGTTTTGCAAAGTTGTGCTTCTCAGCAAACCTTCATGGAAGAAAGATGGAAAATGTCAAGGACAGTAAAGATCTTGTCATTAACACCATAGACCAAAAAGGCTGCAAGATACTGTAATAGTGCTGGCAACCCAAACATTTCACTAACAGAGCTCTATCATAGAATTTCCTTAGGAATTCTAGATTTTTCTTGCCTTGATGAAGTGAAAAAAGAAAAAATAGAGACAGAACTGCTTAATTCCCTTTTCTGTGAAATAGAAATAAAGTATTCACTTCATTGAGTAATCCTGAAGATTAGGGGAAGATAACAAATGTAATTAGGCCAGGCTCCTAGAGAGTGCTCAATAGATGTTAAATAATAATAAATCAGTATTAAAGCAGTACTTCTTTTTTCTTTAACTAAGCTCCCATCTTTCTGCTGCTACATTTCTCCCTTTTTTTCCTTTTTCCCCTGAATCCAGTCCTTATGTATGGCCTGTTACTGATAATGAAATAAACCAAACCATACCAAACTTACTGCCATCCAGTTGATGACTCATAGCGACCCTCATTGGGTTTCCAAGTCTGTAAATGAGCCCACAGGCTCATCTTTCCTGGGTGGAGCAGCTGGTGGGTTCGAACCACCCATCCTATGGTTAGCTGCCAAATGCCTTAACCACTGCACCACCTGAGTTCTGTGAAACGAAATAAGCACATACTAAAAAGTCAGTCAGTGCCCAAGGATACCTGACAAAAAAACTGAGCAACTGGCTGAAGAACTAAACTTTGCCTCCGGGACTGACTTTTTCCACTAAGTCCTGGCTAACAGGTCTCTGCCCAACTTAGCACGGGGACCCCAGGTCAGCTTCTCACCAGGTGCCCCATTTAACTACTGTATCCAGCCAATGGCCTTGCACTGTCATAGCCAACACTCAGGGTGACGCTCAGTGCCGCGAGTTCATTGGCTGCCGCGTTACCCCAGTAACAGCCGAGTGCTGCGATAGTAACAGGCGAGGTCCCCGGAAGCTCTGCTGCACCATGCAGCACATAATTGAGCTTTACTCACCGATGGAAATTCCTGCCATCCAGGCGCACTACCACCCAGCAGTGGGCCAGGCAGGTGTCGTCGGCCTCGAAATCCCGCACGTATTCGAACTTGCTCTTTGCCATGGTCACCCCCAAACTCAGGAACCGTCTCAGAATGACAGAAGTGACACCCAAGCAATTACGAACCTTAACGTTGCAGGAGGCGCACATTCCCCACCGCGGAAGAAAAAAGACTAAAGAGTCCTGCCCCGGAAGTTCTTTTTTCTCCTGGTGGCCTCTCTAGGCATGGTGGAGGTCCGACTCTCTCGCCTTTTCCTACAGATCTAAGTCCACGGAGAAGGTGTTTCCTTGTTCGTTGCACTACTCACGCTTGCTCGGCTCTCTCCCGCCCTGCAACAAATCACCCTCTAGAAGCTTTAAAAAATTCTTTTCATGCTCGGTAAAGTAGAGGGTCAGAGAAAAAGGTGGATTGCCACAATGGCTGAAACCATGGGCTTAAGGATAGCAAAGATTGTGAGGATGGCGCAGCACAGGGCAGTGGGCAGTGTTTCCTTCTGTTGTACACAGGGTCGCTTTGAGTCCAGCTGGATTCACAGCACCTAACAACAACAATCTTCATTCAAACTTGGCTGGAAAGGGCAGCTCAAGGGGACAGTAAAATATTATAATGAAATGTGCAGACCTAGAAATGGAAAATCAAAGGGGAAGAATATGTTTGGCATTTCTCAGGTTTAGAGAACTGAAGAAATATTCAAGCATGGAGTTGCAATATTGAAGGATTCTTATGGTTAAATACTGAAAGATGCAGGAAGAACCAAAAGAAGATGGAAGGAGTACACTGAATCACTGTACCAAAGGGAGAAAAGATTGAAGTTGTCAAAGATTTCACTTAACTATCAATCAACACCCACGGAAGCAGCAGTCATGAAACCAAACACCATATTGTGTTCGGCAAATCTGCTGCAAAAGATCTCTTTAAAGTGTTTAAGGGCAAAGATGTCACTTTGAATGCTAAAGTGTGCCTGACCCAAGCCATGGTCTTTTCAGTGGCCTCATATGCACATGAGAGCTGGACAGTGAGTAAGGAAGACCCAAGAATTGTTGCACTTGAATTATGGTGCTG